CAAAGCAGGTATATACAAGAATGACACTACAAAAAGCATTTCACAAGATTAAATATTTTGTGAGAGTATTGAACTCTAACCTCTTTATGTTACTGTAGACAAAAATCTTTCATATTGTTCATGGAGACTTCTCAGACTGTCTAATAGGGATTCTCTATAAAGGGGAAGAAATGCAGCAAGCTGAAGGGCACTGGGATGCTGCTGGCACTTAACTCCTTCGGGACAAGAGCGGCCCCAGGGAATGTCCCGCCCGAGATCCCTGGCAGGCAGACAGAGGGCAATGTAACATTGCTGCTTCTGGGGCTGAGAGCGGCAGTGGGAACTGTTCAGGAGAGCCTTACACAATGCACAAAGGGAAAATACACTTTTGTTGGGCAGCAGAGTGCATCTATTGCATGCCTTAAATGAAAGAGAAAGCCAGTTCCCTCAGTGATCTACCTACCCACGTGAGGTTAATAGAGTTCAATTGAATCTCTTGTCAGGCTTTCCCCAGGGTGTTTAATTCATCACAGTTAGAGTTGATAACATTCTGTTGTAATGAAAAAATTCGAAAAGCCTCAAGTGAGGTTAAAATCCCGGGTTGCCAAAAGTTCTAGTTTAACAGGAACCTCTGATGCAGTTGTTTATTTGATCTGCTGGTTTTCTCTCCGGATGAGACTTACCCATCCATTGCATTTTACAATCTAGCTCAGTACCATTTTGCTCCTGGCACCCAGCAAATATGTCCTCATTAAGTAAAATTTATGCTAATACCATTCTGATTAGCCAGCAGTCATTGATATTCACTCTCATTAGCTAAATTGGTGCTCTGGAAGACATCCCGTCGAGGACTTTTTTTTCTGTTTTAAATGGAATATAAAATGTATGGATTCACAGAGAAGACAGATGATGATAATTATACCCTGTGTTTACTCAAGCAGGTTTTTTATCCTAAAGGCTCCCGAAGTACTTTGCAGAATTTACATCTGCAAGGGGGGGAGAAGACCTTTTTTTTTCCCCTTCTGAGAGGAAAACCTCTGTCAGAAATAGAGAAGCCATTCTGGTTTCATGTTATTATGACAGATTGCACAAAGGAATCTTCCATTCTGAAATCAGGAGCACTTTTTGATGGGACAAAATGCCGGACACTTCACAGGAAATCCAGCTGGGGAATAAGCTCAATTCATGCAGTAATGAGAATTTCTATATACAATCTTTTTGGAGCAACCCTGTGACTCCAACTTAGCATCTCTAGGAGTTTTGCCTGCGGTGATATTGCAAAATTAGCCTCAGTGTGAACCTTGCATCAAAAGCACAAGGATCCTCTTTGCTCACCCTTACACATCTTGGTTGGAAGGAATGATAATTACAGCTGAGAATTTTATTATATTTTCTTATGTTCAACCATATGATCAGTTCAAGCCGTGGTTTAATACAGTCTGGTATGAGGATGCTGTGATGAATTTCCATCCCTTTTCTGTTAGCTCTCTTAAAGGGCCTTTGTCAGGCAGATATGACCAAGCAGGAAGCTGTTATTGCCAAGGTGGGACAATCTTGCCATTAACACTGTTAGGTCCAAGAATATGTTTCTTTGTATCACAGCCTCCACTTCAAGTGCCAGACAGAAAGCAATGATCTTAATGCCTTATATTCTTACTCATATTAACAAAACCCCCAGTTGGTGTCTCTCTATATGCAGACGTAGCCGTCCTTTATAAACTCTGCCCCTATACTCTTCTGTACCTTTAAATGTTGGCACTCTGCATACTCTGTTCTCTTGAAAGGGGAAAAGCATTTCTGTGGTCTGTTCAATCCTTGACCTTACTGGCAGAACTAGGAACAAGAGTGTCTGTTCTTGCTAATTTTTTACCTTTTGAATCTGCAATCAATACTGTGCTTCCTCGAGGCTGCCGGGCAGCACACGGTGACCATCGGCAGCGGGAAGCACTGGCCACAGTGACCTTTGGCTGGGCTGCAAATTCCTCAGCTGGTCTTTGAATCCCCCCCACTGAACAGTTCACATCACTCCCATGCAATAATTGCAGTGTTTTCACATGTGCTCTTCTGTTTCATCTCACTCTTATATTGATCTAATCTTCTCTTCAGTAATCAAAACTAATTCCACATCCAAAAGATGCTTTGGAGAGGAGATCAGTGGCCACAAGCAGCAATGTGAAACCACCCAGATGCAGATAAATTGCCATTCTCCCTCACTGCACAGAGAAATTGTGTCCTAATGGTATAGCAATTACTGTGTTTCCATGGTGATGTGTGTGAGCACTATAAATAATGTTTGATGTTTATAAACAATCCAGTTTATACTGAATTATACACACTATTTGTATGCTAATATCCAGGATGCACTTCTAAGTATTTCACAGCAGCAGAATAGCAAACAGAAAGCTGAAAGTTTTGGGAGCAGTGCAGTGAACCATATGATTATTATTTTTTTTCTGTGTTTATGTCCAAAGGAAAAACTGCATGAACTGAATCTGTTTCTTATTGTAATGTGCACACTTAATAATGGAAAAGAAATACTGGAAAGAAAACCTCACAGCATTAGCAAATTTTTTTGCTACCCATCATCATTACTACACTGAGGTTTTGTCCCAGAAGGTAAAAAACATTTAGGTTCCAGTTGAGCACGCTCTGCCAGCGCCGCGTGTGCCTGCTGGGCTGGGCACCCGGGCCGGGCTCCGGCCGCCGCGCTGGGACAGGGAAGCAAGGGCAGGGAACAAATCCATGGGAGCGCACGGGAGTGCTGGCGGGGCACGGCACCTGTGGGCAGACACGTAGCAGCGCTGGGCACGGCTGGAACAGCCCGAGAGGGCCCTTTCCCCATTGTTTGGGGGTAAATGGAATACACTGCAGCACATTTGTTCCCTGGCAGCCGGCCCGGCACAACTGCTGGGCGCCCCTGTATTTACATTAAAATAGTTTGGAAAATTCTGCCTTTATTCATGCCCCGAGTGTGTAAACATGGTCTGAGGTGTGCTCAGCCTGGGCTTGTGCCTCTGCACATCCTCGGTGGTGGCAGTTTGCTGGACACAGGGCAGTTCCCGAGGGCAGCAATCCCTGCGAGCACGGCGTCCCTTGTGCCTGTGATTTCCTGACACGTGCACAGCCAAAATGACAGGAATGGAATATTTGCTTTGTCATCTGGGTGGGGTTGTTTGTTTGTTTGCCTCATCCACCTCAGAGCGAGTCCTCAGCCTGTGCTGAGGATGTGTAGAAACTTGCTCTCATGGCAGCGTGTGTATTTTGCACTGGTTTGTTGCAAAGAAAGACGCTGGTGCTGGCTTTTGGGGAAGCACCAAGAAAACAAATACGATCCAAATAATAAGGCAAAATAATGCGGGATTCAGTGAAGGCCTGCTGGCGTTGTGGCAGGGCTGCAGTGTCCCCGGGGAACCGCTGTGCTTGGTCTCTGAGTGCCTCCCGTTCCTCAGGCTCTTCAATAGCTCCTCCAGCGCTGGCCACCGAGTGTCCTCCTGAGCCGCTGCCAGGAGAAGCAGCAGTGCCCACACCAAGTTTTCCAGCAGTTTGTCTGTAGCTCTGGAAATCAATCTTGCCTTCTGCCCTGTTCTACCCCAGAGGGTGCAGAAGTATCACCACCCCACGGTGCAGAGAAGCCAAGCCCTTTCCGCGGGGAAATGCTGAAAAAGACTGAAAATAACCCCATTTTAATTCCCTGTGGTATGGCTGTTGGGATGAGTATTCCTGTGTCTCACCAATGTCTGCAGTGATGTTAAAAAACAGTCTAAGTCTGTGCCTCGCTACACCTGGCATGTGCTCCTTGATTCCCACACACCAGGGTCCTGCAAAGTGTTCTCTTGCAGAGAAAGCACAACAATTTATGGTTCCCTGGATTTTAGATAGGGTCTGGTTTGGACCAGCCAACTAATTTCAGTTTGATAATCATGAAATCTTTCTGTATCTTGTTCCTCCTCTTTTTCAAGCTTTTAGATTAAATGTATCAGAGTATATAACTAATAACATTCATAATATAGAAAATCATATAGTTAATAATAATTATTAATAGAGAATATATACTGGCATATTAATATAGCATATCGGCATATAAATATATAATGTCTTAACAATATGGCAATAAGGTATATTATATAATATATAATTATGTCTTAATATATGTCATTATATATTACTGAAATACATCAATTTTAATAATTATTAATTTATATTAATTTGTTTTAGTGTGTTATTGATTCATATATTAATTGATTTCTATAATTATAATTAATTGCATACTATATATTATGTTTAGTATATGTTATATGTATTTATAATATATAATTAAAATAATACAAGGAAGCCGACTCTCAAAAGTTTTCTCACTTGCTAATCTGTTTTTATGGTGAATTTGAGAGATGCCTCACAACTCTACCGTATTTTGACCTTGATTAACCTCTCTTTTCCTACCAAAGAAATTTTTCTTTGCAAAGTTTGAGAGTTTTTTCCAATCAAGACAAGTGTGTGACTGTTACAGGACAGATAAATGTGTGTAGCCTTGCCAGCCCCATAAGTGCTGCAGTTCCATACCGAGTAGGATCTGTGCCAGCATTACTGTTCTGCACAGACTCTGTCTTTTCAGGAGTTTCCATTTTTTAATTTTTGTGGACCAGTTTTTATCAATTTTTTTTCCTTCCTGGTGCTTCTGTTGACTGTGTGAGCTACATTATCATTTTGAGACTAATTCTGAAATTTCCCTGTAGAGGTCTTTTTTCCATAGCCGAGTTACTGAAGGGAAGGAAAACATGGGAATTACGCTAAACTCAAAGCTTTTGAACAAAAGATGTCTCAACATTTTCCAAACAGAAATGGGTAATTTAGGATGAGATGTTCAGAACCCAGAGGGATTTAATCACCTTTGAAGCCAGACTTAGAGGAGCCTCTCATTTAGGTCACAGCATCCTCTAGTCTGGCTTTCTGGGTGTAGAGTGGGAGCTGAGCAGGACTGGGTTTGATTTATTGCTCCCTAAGCTGATGTTCTTCCCTTGCAGTCCAGTGGAAGGGGAAGCTGAGCTGCCTCCTGGTTCAGCTGGAGATGATGGGAGCAGGCAAACACTTCCCTGGGCTGCAGTGCCAGCAGAAAGGAGCTCAGGACCGTGGCCAACTCCCTCTGCAAGGGCTTCTGGATCTGCCTCAGCCTGAGGAGAGACACGGGAACAGGTACCACACTGGGAGGGAGTGGAGCTCACTGGAAAGCTGAAGTGGAGAAAGAAGCTCAAGTGAACCCATCTAGGGAAAAGAGGCACCTCTGGAATGCAAAAAGGCTTTAAACAAAACTGAGGGTGCTGTTTTGAAAGCAAAAGCAAATGCAGGCCCTGGGGAAAGCATCCATTTGGCTGGGTTTTGAAAAATTTGATTTCTGTTTGTTCTCTTTGATGGTAGGTAGTTAGGGATGGGGAGAGAGTTTCAGGAATACCTGAAAACAAAAATTGACAATGCTGGTACTTTCACTAAGTGTATCTTATGTAGGCATAACTTGCTTACACAGAATCAAAAACTATACAAATGGTTCAAATACTGGTAAAGGGTATTTCATTTACTAAATCTTAATTTCCACTTGAGGAAATTAAGCCCCAAAAGGGCTGAGGTACCTCTCATTATCTGCTTCTAAAAGTGCAAAGAATAAAAAGAGTACTGCCTCTGACTTCAAAAGTAATATGATTTGAAAAATATGCACTGATTAAAAATAAATCTTTTGCTCACATACATTATCATTTTAATATTAAGTTATCAAATACAGCCAAAGCATACAGCAAGACCAGCAGGGATTGTTCATGGCTCATTGCTTCCTCCTCCAGGTCTTTGATACTTATAGATATAAATAAATAAAGTTGATATTTATGTATATAAAAATAGATACAGAGAGAGAGAGAGAGATAGATTTATATCCCCCTCAAATGAGGATACCTCTGGACAAGCTAATTGGGAGCATTATAAAGTCAGGAGTTTCTGTTTTATTATCCTGGAGACTAGAGAAGCTGAATTTGAATAAGGTCCTTGGGAACAAGGAAATGTGGTGGTCTGACCTGATGTCTGTGTCCTTCTGCTATGATTTCTTCCTTTTATAAAATTAATTTGATAACTTTACTGGATATCACAGGGATTATTTCTCTTTCATGGCAACCTCCCAGCACAGAGTATATGAACTGTTGCAAAGGGTTTGGAGATGTAGAGTGCTACGGGTGTAATTAGCTGAAATTAGTGTGGCTGAAAAAAATCCAGAATATTCAACTTCTCTAAAAAGACCTTCAACTAGAATAAAAGAACAGTCTTATACCAAGAATATTAGTGCTTAGGAGTGGCTCTGTTTGACTAAGAAAATGCCATTAGAACCAGGTATTTATGACTAAATACACTTGAATAGAAAACATGCAGAAAAAACTCTTGGTGGTTCATTTGTCAAAAGCTGGCTGAACTGTAGCTCCGTAATTATGTTCTGGATCTCACAGCCAGAGAAGTGGTAACCGCAAACTGACTTCCTCATTCCTCCCCTTCCTCCACGAGTGCTTTGGATTAGGTAGTCAGCTGAGATTTCCAAAGCACATATTTTCGTACCATGCTGCTGCGACCCATCTCCAGGTACTTCTTGCTTAGATTCCCACAAAATACCCTTTTCCCCCTCTTTTTTTCGTGGAATGAAAAGTTTGTTAAGGCACTGCCGTACTGAAATCCTTGCCAGGTGCATGTGCACACAGGCACAGAGAGGAAAGCAACTTCTGCCCCAGAAAGACAACTGGGCACTGTTGAATGCAATCCAACAACTCTGCGGTTGCTTGTCCCGAACAACAGATATTCTGTATCACCTCCCATTAACAAACAAAAGACTTTTTCCCACGCCATTATATATTTACATTAGCCTACTCCTCAAGCTTGGCATGTTGGCTTCCTAAGACTATTTGATCCCAGATTCAGCTCTGTGCCAGAATTGCTGGAACAAAATGCAGTGGGTGGACAAACCTGTCCTGCTGCATTGCTTGTGGCCTTTTGAGAACAGAAAGCATTTCTGTGAGTCATGACTGTGAAAGCACTCGCAGGGCATTCCGGTGCTGGGGCTCTGGCTGGAAGTGCCTGCGTCTGCTCAAAAGGTTACCACGGGTGCAGTCCTATCATGACACACTGGTTGGTATCAGCCAGGGGCAAATATTAAGTAGCTTATCTCTTAAAGAGGGAGATAAGGAAGCAGGGCTGTGAGGTGCTTGCCAGTAACCGTGTATCCATCACAGCTGTCGCTGGGTGTGCTGCAGGAACCGTGCCGCGTACCCGCACCAAAACCAGGGCAGCTGAGCTGCAGCCCTGACTCGGGGCTCCTGCTGGGGCCTTTGGCAAGGCATTTAGGACTAAACTAGGCTGCCTTCTGTTCTGAGGTGAAGGGGACTGAGGTTTCACACATCCCCACTTTCTGCAACTCCAGAATCATAGAATCACAGAATGCTTTGGGTTGGAAGGGCCATTAAAGATCATCTAGATCCAACCCCCCTGCTATTTCTGCTTTTCTTTGAGACCAACAAATAATTAAAAAGCCCTACAAATAAAGGAAGGAATTCTTATCAAGTGTTATTGTGGTGCTGAGGACACAGATATCTGGAAGAAAATGCAGAAAATTTGTTTCCTTGTATTTCAGTGAGAGGCCACAAAATCCACTTGCCTTGAAAAGGGAAGATTGAGGAAGGAGTTTATAGAAATTCCTCTGAATATCTGCAGTTGAGTATTTTTCAGATGTGCACACAAGTTTTTGTGTTTACATATATTTGTACATGTGCATGGAAATACATATATGATGTGTGTGCATTTGAGGCTTTTTACCTGGGATACAGTATGCAATTTGAGGGGTGCATTTTCTTGTCTCTGGGTATGCTAATTCTTTTAAGTATCATAGAATTATAGCATCACAGAATACCCTGAGTTGGAAGTGACCCATAAGGGTCATGTAAGTCCAGCTCCTGGCCCTGCACAGACACCCCAACAATCCCACCCTGTCCCTCAGAGCGTTGTCCAAACCCTCCTGGAGCTCTGGCAGCCTTGGTGCTGTGCCCACTGCCCTGGGGAGCCTGGGCAGTGCCAACCACCCTCTGGGGGAAGAGCCTTTCCCTGAGATCCAACCTGACCCTCCTGTTCTGTATATATTTCCATGTCTTTAAGGAATGTAATACGTACCTCAGAAGGTGCTGAGACAAGTAACCCCGCTCTGTGTGATGTTTAGTGCTGCGGAAAATGCATGAGGGTTAAATTCCACTGCCCTTTGAACAGGCCTATCCTGGAGGCTGAACTTGGCTCCAGTGGCCCGGTGCAGTCCTTGCAGGGGATTGGGATGTGCCCGATGTGCTCCAGAACAGCAACCTGGATGCACTCTGGTGAAAGAACGGGGAGAGGGCTGGACACCCATTGCTGGACACCCAGTGGGATCCTTCATGACCATTTACTACTAAAGGTTCACCCCTTGGATTAGAGATCTCTGCACAGCACATATGTTCAGAGGAATTCAAAATCATAAATAATCAGCTTTGTGGAAAACTGCTCCAGTCAAATCACTGGATAATTATCTGGCTTTTACAATTCTCTTTGAAATCATTTCTGTGGGGAAATATTCCGTGTGTAAAATCAGGAGTCAGAGATTGCTTGGAAGAGACGAGAACAGGGTGGCAGTAAAAAGGAAAAGCAAAGCCAATTTCACTGGTGTAATAGGGCATCTATCCCACAACACATAAAATAATAATGCTTGCAGTTAAAAAAGCCCAAGGAAAATATAATTAATGCCCAAGAGCAGCTGAGGCAAATGGTAGAGGGGAAATGGAGATTCATTCACACAACACCAATTTTGATGCTAAATTTCAGCAGATAAATTATCCAGCATCTCTCCCTGGAGTTTTTCTCCAGTTGAGAAGGAGCAGGTCTGTCAGAGCTGAACTAAGGCCTCCCCTGGAGCAAGTTTGCTCTCCCTATTGTAGAGGGACTCCAGAGAGCCTGTCAGTTCCCTTAGCCCATCTTTTAAGCTGAGTGGTGTGAATAGTCTTCAAAATGCCTTTGGGTTTCCCTTTACCCAAAGATTGAGGCAATGCTTCTTTTCATTCTCAGCCACAGGAATTAAACAATAAGATCAAAATCTTGTAATCTCCTTGGGAATTCCTTTTAGTTGTATGGGATCTAAATGCAGGGTTTCCCCTAAATTGCTGGGCAAATGAAGGCAGAGGCTAATCATACAGCTGGCCTTCCATGCAAACATTTCCCGTGTCTGCTGCGGCCGCCAATTGTTTGGGATCGCCTATGAAACAAATTTCTTAATCAGTTTTAATACTAGGCACAAGTTTAAGTGTCATTAAGCTGGTTTTTTTGTTGATCTTGTGATCTGTTTGCTTCAAGAACAGGAGGACCTGGGAACAAAGCAAACTTTAGTATTTCAATTTTTTTGGCCTTTCATAGCACTAAGTTATGAAAAGGATGATTGAAATAGACTCACGCTGGGGTCTCCAAACAGATAGTATTTAGTGTATTGCTTTCAGGAAAAACAGCAGGAGTCAAAATTGAGTTTACAGCAGTGTTATTCCCTCTGTCTCGGTGCTCTGTGGAACACAACCACCATGTATTATAGGAAAACTGCCATCTTTATTCTTCACCAAACAAATCTTTCAAAGCACATATATCTGTGCTGCAGGAATGTGCAGGGGGAGAAACCCTAAATCTTCATTTTAAAAATTAGATGCAAATTTTAAATTTGCAAATGCACGTCCCCTGTCAGAAAATGATCCCCTACAATTTCCTAATAGCGGGCAAAACTTCAAAAAGAAAATACTTGCCAGCCTTTGGACATGCTTGTTCCAGTCTGGATGTGCAGGGATGCAGATGGGGACTTTGGATTCGAGGGGCAATGAGTTTGTGGGTGAAGTTCAGCTACAGTGTGGTTTGTTTGGCATGCAGGAGGTTTCTTACCATATCAGTATCCCAAACTGAAATTGCTTGCAACTTGCCCTGCCTTTCCAACTTTGCTGTCTTTCCCCTTAGGCGCAGTTTTGTTGTGTACATCCCACATCTCTCGTGGCTGTCACTGAGAGAATGTTGGTCTGCCCTGCCCCGCTCACTGCAGCGCCCTCGCCGCGGGAACTGTCACTGCAACAAAGGGCTCAGGGCTGGGCAAGGAAACGTGCAGTCACTGCCCAGTTATGGAA